AAGAAAGAAAGAAAGAAAGAAAGAAAGAAAGAAAGAAAGAAAGAAAGAAAGAAAGAAAGAGAATGCCTTGATTCCTAGCACACTTGATTCCTAGTGTGTGGATGCGTGCCTTGATTCCTAGCAACTGCCTGGACAGGTCTATGTTGTTGTTGTTTTGACAACATTTTTGGAAGTTCTTACCTTCTTCCTAGGGCTGAAATTGACTAGAACACCCAGTCTCCCTTTTTGTAGCCTAATGCCTTTAACCACTGTCCCAAACTGACTCTACCAGTTACTGTCTGTTGAATTATGGTCAGAAACAACTATAATTTATTAGATGAATACAGCAGGGATTTTCCTTTTCCCTCCAGGCACTTATGCAGTGTATGCACAAACATACAATGAAAAGTTGAAAAGCCTGAGATGTTGAGAATGAACTTTATTCATTGGTTGCATCACCATCTACATATACTCCCTGCCTACCTGGTGGGCTTTAGGGAGCTATCCATGGTTCTGGAAAAGAATTTATGGGAATCTGCCACAAAAACAGATAAAGCCATAGATAGAATAAACCACAAGTGTAGAGGTTTCTAGGACATGACTGAAAATGATAGGAATATCCTTTTTTCCCATCCTCTGTACTGAAAGCATTTGTGAGTTAAAAAAAACCAAGATGATGATATTTTTCCATTCTTGGGTCAAAGAAATATGCACGCACACACACATACACACAATACACACATACAAATACACACAGTTCATATCAAAATCTTACAATGATCCAGAAATAATAATACAGGGTATGATACTGCACAAAAAGAGAAGTTAGTGGCCATGGGAGAAAGAAATCTTATGACAATAAAAGTCAGATTAGTAAAGTTCATTGAGAAGTACTAAAATTGTTACAATCAGCACTTATAGGATCTCCCATGACTAAGAGATGATGTTCTATAAATAATATAAGACAGAGACTATTATGATAACATTAGCAGAGCCCAGCTCACCTATGTCAGAGACAGTTCAACTAATGCAACAATATTTTTATTCTTTGTTCATAACCCGAGCAACTAGTTGTGGAGAGGTATATTGCTCTCATACTATTTATACTATATGAGCATGATGGTTAATAGTTATTGATATCTGTATCCACCCGGATTTCACTGCAGTCCCTTTACAAAGATGTCCATGTTTGTGGCCATCAATACAAAAATCCAGAAATTATTTTTTAAACCCACAAAAACTCTAATATTAAAAATGTTCTAGGAAATGAATGCTTGGTGGGCAAAAAAAAAAAAAAGATACCGGGTGATCTCAGGCTTTCGATTGAAGTGCCTGTCCTTGGCATGGAGAGAAAATAATTACTTCCCTTTCAGTCTATAGTATACCCTGCATACACAATAATAAGTGAATGGCTTCCCTTTCTTTCCAGGTCTATGCTTTCTTTCTTTCAGTTCTACTCTGGAGTCCAAAGAATTGGATTCAGGATAGAAAACTCATTAAGGCAAAGCTTAGGGTCTTGAATGATGGACTCCAGGCCTTCATCATCAACAACAACATCATCTTCATCATGCAATTATACATGGAGCCCTGATAAAGTCAAATTTAGGGTCTCTATCACAGAATGGAATCCCAGAGAAAAAGAGCAGTAAATCTAAAATTCTAATAATTGGTAATAGTGGTTCCCTGTCTAATTTGGCTAGCAGCTATGTAATTTAAAGACCCTTCTTTATGTACAGAGCATGTTTATACCGTTGCATCATCATGTGATAAAGCAGGGGTGTCAAACTCGCAATGTCACGTGACATGTCACGACTTTTTTTCCATTGCTGGCAATGGGGCGGGCGCGATTTTGGCAGGACGCATCCGGCCCGTGGGTTGGCAGTTTGACACCCCTGTGATAAAGGGTTAGATTTATTTAGATTCTTTTATATGAAGGTGTATTTTTGTTTAACCAAAGCAGTATAAAACATTTTTAGTTAATAAATAAGCAAGTAAACAAGCACCTTTGCCACAAATGTTCAACTTATTGGAGAAATATATGGGGCCCTTTCTAAAAGGAGAAACACTGGACTTCTGGGGAAGAAAGGGTGAACTGAAAATGGCTCCTTTAAAAATGGAGCTGCAGACTCATTGTTCAAGAGCTAGCAAGCAGATCAGCTCTTTGAAATTCCTGTCCAGACAAGGAGATGATTTGGATCACTCAAAACTGTACAGACAGTTGCTGCTCATGAGGACACTGTGGAATAGAAACCGTAGGTGCTCTTAAGAAGTTGTGAGTTTTTAAGAACAGATTGGACAAGCATTTGTCTGAAATGGTATAGGGTTTCCTGCTTGAGCAGGGGTTGGACTAGAAGACCTCCAAGGTCCCTTCCAACTCTATTATTCTTTTATTCTTACAGATATCTCCAATAGGTTTAGAGCTCTTGGAGACAAGGGAATAGCATCTCCACCCAAATTGTGGTCAGAGCCTTAATGGACACTGAGTTAACATATTTCCTTTCTAATCACGTTTGGAAATTGCTTATTAATTGTTTTCCAGATATTAGGAATCTTTATAACAACAATTTTTTATAACACTTGATGAGTTTCCTTCAGTCCTTAGTGAAAGCTTAAAATGCAAGTTTAAGGACTTTTTTTAATAAACAGCAAAAGGGTGATTAGAACTTTGATTCTGGAAAGTTAAGAACTGACTAAGGATCCAGACGGATTTGGAAGAAGAATTTGTTTTGAAATTAAATATAACAATCCTTCCCATGGGAAAATGCTGTTGCTTTGAATTCTAAAAAAAAAAAAAAAAAATGGACACAGAAAGTTGGAACTATACTGAAGATTATATATTTAAAGGAAAAGAACACTTAAATTTGAATTACTAATGCACAGCAAAGCAAAATAATTTAACATTGGGGGATATTTCTGAACAAAAGATCCAGAAGTTCATTTTAAGAGTGTCTGCCAGTATACATAGATTATAATGGAAGATGATATGGAAGAAGAACTAGTTTTGAAAGTGGATTTAAAAATGACGGGCTACAAGAAGTATATGAAAAGATTCTACACAGGATAAGCAAATGAAACAGATTAATGTCATAGTAATTAAAAGGGATATATACAAATAACAAACCAAAAGATTGACCTGGATAACTTTTCCATATTGGATTTACAAAAAAGACTTGTTAAATTTTTTAAGAATTTTGTTTGATGGTATAAAGAAAAAAATTAAAAGAAATCAAATTCAAGGATATTATTTGAAGTGATTAAATATTATGTTCATTAAAAGTAAAAGGAAGGAATTATATTTGGTTTATTTGATCAAGGTTAAAATAGATATGTTGGTCTCTCTGGTAATCTTTAATGGACTTTTGCTAACATCTGAATTGAACAAAAAGGCTTTAAGGATTTGTTTATAGATAAGAGATGAGATATTGAGAAGAGATCATTTGTGGTATTTTTAAGAGAAGGTGCTAAGTTCTTAAAATTGTTTATACTGTGATGAAGGGGGAAATTATTTCTTTATATATATTTTTTCTCTTCCTTCACTATAGATTCTTATTTTTTTTTCAATTCTATTTTTTTCTTTTTTTCTGCACTTCCTATTTTTTTATTCTTTTAGTTTTTCAGTTTGTATCTTTAGTTGTCATTATTATACAAAAATAAAAGCCGTAGTATCAGCCTGTCTCTCCACACATTATCCATCCACACTCCTCTACAAACAGTAGTAAATGAGCCGTCCATCAATCTCTCTCAATTCAGCATTCTCATAGGGTGCTGTGATGGAAGTAAAATGGAGAAACCCGTGTACTATAAATTGCCTTGAATTACAAGAAAAAAGGCAGAATATTAAACAAATAGGGATTGCCAACATCCCAACTGTGATTGCTCTCACAACTAGGGACATGGCACAGTAAAGCCATAGACATCTTATAATCATAGTACTCTCTGCAGGAACTGTAAAGAGGATTATGTTTATGTTACTATGTTACTCCTAAATGTTACTCCTGGAATAAGGTATATCCATTAATGAATGGCTATATTCTTCGGGAAAGTGTAACATCTGTTCCAGATTTTGCGGATTCTTGACTGGATATGTAACTGCCTGTTAAATAAAGAATTGTCTTTATTGTCTTTATATTCCTCCTTCCGTTATATATTCAAGATGGACAGTATTTAATATTTATTTGCCATGTATATGTAGGTGGGTCTATACATATGTTGTACATAGTATGTTTAGGTATGTG